TAGCGCCCCAAAAAAGTAAACCAGTCAACCCCCCTTCCACCGAGTGGGAACTCGGCTGGAAGGTTGCCCAATCTGGGTTGGAACCCCAGAGTTGTCCCTCGGGGGACACTGGAGTCGGCGCGTGCCGGGATCTGGACTTCCCAGCCTCCAGAGCTGTGAGGAAATAAAAATCTTTCTGGTCTGTTCCTTGATACACTACCCACTCTGTGGCACTTTGTATAACTGCCCAAACAGATAAAGACATGTAATTTTTTTTGGGGGATATGAATTTGGCAGCAGTGAGGTTCCCTGGGCAAAAGAGAAGGACCCATACGGCTGATGACACTTGCATTCTATTGCTTTCCCCCCAAACTTGCACCAGTTTACACCATCAATAACAAACCCACTGAATATTTGCTTAAAACAATTTTTCTGTTTATTAGCCAGAATTCAAAATGCCATCCCATTATTTAACGCCCCCATTTGTTTTATCGCCAGCAGTAATGACTTTTCCGAGCTTTGTGTACTGGGCCAATCCTGCCATGAAGGCGTTGGGATCTAGACTGAGTTCATCATCCTCTGCATCTTTTTCATGTATTGCCTTGTTGTTTCTTGAGATTTACATTTTCAATCCTTTCATTGAGAGTCTGTTAATAATTTTTGCGATATGATCTTAATTTCAAGGAACTTTTGGTTGTTCTCTGCATTGGTCTTTTTTTTTAAAACTGGAAGGTTATAAGCATACAGTATGTGGCACACAATCTTAAGTGTATCAGCTTGATGAGTTCTTGACAAAATGTATACCACAAATTATAATCATTCACCCGAGATCAAAACATAGGACATCCCCAATCTACCCAAAATTTCTCTCGGCCAGGCGCGGGTGGCTCACGCCTGTAATCCTTACACTCTGGGAGGCTGAGGTGGGCGGATCCTTTTGAGCTCAGGAGTTTGAGGACCAGCCTGACAAGAGCGAGACATTCGTCTACTAAAAAACAGAAAAGGAAATTAATTGCCAACTAAAAATATTTAAAAACTTAGCTGGGCATTGGTGTTTTTTTTGATATGCCATTATAGTTCCCAGCTACTCGGGAGGGCTGGAGGCAGGAGATTTGCTTGCATCCCAGGAATTTGGAAGTTGCTGTGAGCTAGGCTGATGCCACCGCTACTCTAGGCCTGGACAATAACAGAGTGAGACTCTGTCTTCAAAAAAAAAAAAAGTGTACCTTTTCTGTCAAGTGGCAAGCAGTTTGGCTAAGCAACAGGGCCACAAGGATTGCTTACTGTAGCCACTAGGGGCTGCCACACTTCTAGGATTCAGCCAATCAGGACACAGCAAGCTGAAATGGATTGCATAGCTTAATTACTAACACAGCAAAAGCAAGACCAGCATGGTGTAGGCTTCTTGCACCCCAGTTCCCAACAGGATGACACTGAACTTGGAGGGACCAGGTGACAGGGAGACATTGGTAGTTTTAGGTCACTCTGCATAAGCTAGGGCGGCAATTCTAAAATTATGGCCAAAGCAGTTTATGGCCTTGCCAGCTTCTCTAAGGGGCAGGGGGCCAGTGAAAGCCCTGGCACTCGCTGAAATTTTTTGGGGGAGAGGGCTGGAAATGCCTGTGGCCAATGGTCCCACGAGGTTAGAGGCCCTCTGTAGGCTGCCGGTTTCTTCCCCCTTGCTCCAGGAGAATTTCGCAGTGGCATTCTTGCCCAAGACTACTTTTTTTGGGGTCAGACTACAGTCCGTCTTGCCTGGTGTGGCGTCTGCAGGGAGGCTGTGCGAAGGGTCGTCACGGTTGGCTGTCGTCATAGCTGCTCCCCTACAACTCCACCCCCTCCTGCCACCAAACCTTTTATATGTGCAGCTAAGAACCAATTTCAGATCCTTAGGCCACCTTATCAGATAAGCCCAATAATTGTACTAACGCGTGGGGAGCTTGGATCAATCCTTTCTATCTGCCTTAAAGAACATTACATGACAGG